GGTTCAGTGTTTGGGGTTTAGGGTCCAGGGTTTGGGGTTTAGGATTCAAGGTTTGGGGTCTAGGATTCAGGGTTTGGGGTTTAGGGTTTAAGGGGTTACATTTCAGGGAAACTGAGGAGCTCATATTATGCAGGGTTTGGGGTTTAGGGCCCCTTTAGTGGGATATAGTTGGGGCATATGTCAGTTAGGGTCGAGGGTTGAGGGCCCCTGTGAAGGATCTGGGGGCGTATGATGTAGGGTTTAGGAATTCATGAGAAGATGGAAGTCATTGTATTGTCCAGGGCTTTGGGGCTCAAGTAATTAGGATACTGGAGAATGAAACGGAAAGCAAATGGAAATATGACCGAAACCCGAGGCTTATAGGGATGTAAAGCGTTTAGGATTTCCTTGCTGGCTGTCTGTAGGTAATGCAGGGGTGGACAAGAAATTGAAAAGGAACGTGTTATTGGGGATTACGTAAGGGCGCTTCCATTCCAGTCCCTCCCAGCAACCCTAAACCCTCAAACCCAAATCCTACTTCTAGGCCTGTAGTAGAAAGTTGCTGGCAAATTTGGGAAGGTTTGGGCAGGGGGTTTAGATCGCAAGGTTTTGAAGTAATCCGAGCACTTCATTAATTTGGGGGGGGGCCGCTCGCCCCCGCACCAGCATAAGGAATGGAGGGCACCAGATTAAAAGAATGATTGGGGCTCCTGGAACTCAATGAAAAAAGAATAGGAATGCATTGCTGCGTCATTGGGGCTCTTGGACCTCTATTAACGAAAAACATGAATAGGAATGTATTGAATATTTCGCTTATTAGGATTGGTTCCCCTTTAGGGGCTTGAGGTTTAGAAGGTGGAGGGCAGTTCAAGGCTCATGTAGGGTTTAGAGTTTAAGGATCTTATTGCCTTGGAATGTAGCGTCCCACAGAAAACATAAGTTCATGGGTTCGTTTTGGGAGGTCGCATCTTTACGGATCAGAGTGTCCCGGGGTCTCTGGAATGCTTGTGCTTTGGGAAACTCCCATTGCGTTTGGGAATAATGCTAGTAGGAAGTCGTGTCTATTTAAGTGTGAACGGCAAAGTTGTTGTGTTGTACTTCTTTGAAGCGGAGCGGGATATGGAAATGATGAGAATGATGATGGGTACTGTACCTTCCGGATTCTAAATATCTGTAACACCTCAAGGAATGTACATAGCATTTGTGAGCTGCCACATCCCTAAACCCTAAACCCTAAATACTAGCTTCCATTTTCTTGTCCATTGCCCCAGTATATCCCCAATATATCCCCTATATAACCCTTATAGAACTCCTATATAACGCTTACATATCCCCTATAAAACCCCAACATAAACTCTATAGAGCCCTTTTGAACCCCTACCCGTGTATATACATGTATCCCCTAAATAACCCCTATACATCCCACCCTACAGCCAGGGAAGGGCAAACTTCGCAAAACTCTATTATGATATAGTAGTTTCCATTTTCTTTTCCATTATCCCATATAGCCCCCAACATACTATATAATCCTTATACTATAGTAACCCTAAACCCTAAACCCCCAGTATATAATAATATATGATATTATCCCTACATAACCGCTCTTCTACCCAGGCGATCCCGGCTGACTTGGATGACGAATATTCCGCGCCCGAATCTGAGACCTACCTTAAGCTGAGGTAGAATTTAGGGTTTAGGGTTGAGCTTTGAGGGTTTGGGTCAATTTGTAATGCAGGTCTCCCAATACTACTCCTTACTGGAGAATCAAATGGAAAGGACAATGTAAAATGAAATGCAAACCGGCTATATAGACTTTTTACCCGGTTTAGGAGGGTTCCAATGGTTGAGACCGAACCTCCATGACTGAAGTACATTAGAATAACACAATCTCATATGGTCATGCGTGAAAAGATCTTAAGCAGCATAATGAGCAGATTTTTTGTAACCGCAGCCCTTATGGCACCCTATGACTGATTCTTGTAGGGTCCAAATGATGCATATAGAGGCCTATGCTCCGGAGATCCGGGTTTAGGAATTACGGTTTAGGGTTTAAGCTTTAGGGTTTAGGAATTAAGGTTTAGGGATTAAGGTTTAGCGCCTAGGAATGAAGGTTTAGGGTTTAGGAATTACGGTGTGGGGTTCAGGAATTAAGTAAGGTTTAGGGTTTAGGAATTAATGTTTAGGTTTTAGGTTTTAGGGTTTAGGGTTGACGTTTAGGTATGCCCTACACTGTGGAAGGCTTGTCTCGAAGCCATCCCGGAATGCTAGTTCCAATGACTTGCTGGCGGTTAGTACGGAATAAGGGAAAATATTATACAGGGATTATAATAGGGATTTTAATTTTTCATAAGGGAAATATTATATAGGGTTATGATAGGGATTATATTCTTGTGTTCCCTACTAACCCTAAACACTAAACCCCAATCCCTAAACCCTCAACCCCATAGTATATTCCCTTCTTCCTTACTACGCACCGGTTAAATGAGAGTTCCATGTCTCGAAGCAGACGGTCGAGACTCGAAGCTTTTGGCTAGATGGGATGATCATCCTTGTCACTAATTTCTAAACCCTTAACCCTAACCCTAAACCCTAAGTCAGTACTATGCATATTATGAGAAGAAGCCTGTGCAATCAGCGGTGTTACTTGTGGCAGACTGTAGGAGGATGCTGGTAATAACTTAAACCTGCCGACACCAAGTAACAGTTGGATAGTACATATAAGACCAACATATACAAACCTTAGTAGTACCCCTATTGTAGACTGGGCGTGGGCAGTACTCAAATTATGACATTTGAGTGCTGTCCTAAGTTGGCTTCGGGTCGGTCAGCAGAAGCCCAGCCAGCAGCCTCCTGGTGGGTTCAAAGCCCAGAGATTCCCGTTTTTCGTCCTTGTGATGTATTATGTGTTTGGGGATATACGTAAATTTCTATATATTTATATGGATTTATATATATATATACACATGTGTGGGGATTTCTTGGAAACTACAATATGTTTCCAGGATCCGTGCGCGGAACCCGCTGCCAAAGTCCGCACAGACACGCTGTGCTGCATGTTTCTGCTCAAGCACGAAGGAGAAATCTTGTCGTAGCTGAATAGGTAGGCTGTGATGGCAGGATCAAAGTTTTGGACCCAAACAGTGACTTGCACCCTAAACCCTAAAACACCCTAAGCCCTAAACCCTAAGCCCTAAACCGGGTGGCTGGTGGTGCTTAGAGAAGACACTCGATTGACTCCCCATGCCATTTCCTCCTTCTCCTTCCTCCTATAATGGAGAATCAAATTGGAAAATGAAATGGAAACTGGGAGAATATAGGGATTTAAGGGACTTAATTTCAAGTCTGATGAGGCGCGGACACGATTTCTACTGTTCAAAAACAGCATGAACTCCACTGCTTGGTATGGACAAGCTGAAAGTTATAGCTAGGAGATATCCAACAATCTCTTTTAGATGTTGTTACCGACAACACCCGTGTTTTGTCATCATATGTCTACCTAGCTAATTGGTTTCGAAAGTTGAGCATCCACGGCAATGGCATGCTGGAATGTCTGGTTCGTGTTGTCAGCCATACAATTGGCCATGGCTAGCCCAACAGTTTCTGTGAAGGTGGGGGTTTGTCAAAAGTATGTTCCTTTTCTTTGGTAATTTCCCTAAAGCTGAAAGGCCGGATAACAACGGGGACCCAAAAAGGGACCATAATTTTGACAAGCTACCAGGTGTGTACTGCCGGTGACTACCCACCTCTCACGCACTTCAGCAAGGAAGGCGGATTTCGAGGCTTGGCGCCTCAGGTGATTCAGAATTTTGCGTCCTCCCGGAACCTTAGCATAGACTTCGTGCTAACTCCTTGGGCTGAACTCCAGAACTACCTGGAGACGAAGTGCGTGCTTGCAGCAGGAGGCATCACCTGGACGGAGGAGCGTGCGAAGCAGTTTATCGCCTCTGTGCCCATAGAAGCAGACAGGAAGATTCCGGTTTTTGCTTCAAGGAACGCGCCGCTGTTTCAGGACTTTAAGGATTTCAATCAGCCGGATGTCATCATCGTTGAGAACCATGGTGGTACCAACGAAAAGTACGCTCGCACATTGTTTGAGAAAGGCCTCATGACAAAGCCCAGTTTCTAGAGCCGTCTTGCAGCACTTTCCTGTTTCTGTGGGTTCCTGTTTCTTCCGCGGATGATACTAATTCAGCTTCATTTTTCTTTTTATCGCGAGTGTACTGGGACAGCAGGTCTGGAGATCATTCCCACAAATCAAGGGGCTTACGCTTGCCTACGTGAGTGTGGAGCGCGTCCACTCGTCATGTTCACCGACAGCATTGAGGTGGCACGCCATTTGAGCTATAGTCCAAACTTTCTAGAGGAGGTTATTTATGGGTATATCTTGGGGACTACTATGGGGGTTATTAGGGGGGATGCTAGGAGTTTAGATGATGGTTCATTTGGATTCATATACATACATGCCTTGCAGTTTTTTAAGGTTGTAGTCTTACAGGTTTCCGTCTCAGGTCCGTTTACGATGTCACTGGGGGTATATGCCGGCATGACAGGTTTGGCGCAGACTCAGGGTCGAAAACGGAAATTACCATAATGGGTCATATAGGGATTATAGGCAGGGTATATATTGGGGTCATACAGGGATAATGGAAAAGACAATGGAAACTGCTATTTAGGGTTTAGGGTTTAGGGTGTAGGGTTTAGGGTCCCAAACGTGGCCCCTACCTGTTTCCTGGGTCCTAACTATAGGCCTGCATTGGGTTTCGTGGGTTTTCATCGGGTACGAAATAGCTACATAAGAACCGCAGGATTAAGGGCCCATACATGGTTCCAACTTGAGACAGGCCCCCTCACAATCCATTTCGAGCCGTGTGACGAATCCTTCACCTAGGTAGGGAAAGCCCAAGTTTTGGCTAGGTAAAATCCCGTAGTCCACTATAGCCCCTATAGATCAGACTCGTGGGCTGTAATCCCTAAACCCTAAACTCCGAAGCCCTACACCCTAAACTCCGTAAGCCCTAAACCCTAAACCCCAAAACCCTATGCCCTAAACTCTGTAAGCCCTAAACCCTAAGCGCTAAAACCCTATATCCTAAACTCTGTAAGTCCCAACCCTAAATCGCAAGCCCTAAACCTTGTGCAGGTCGACTTTGTCTCTGGGCAGCCTGGATCCATTTTATCTGATTTGGGTGCCCGGATAGCCATGCCGGATCTTCCAGCTTTCGAGACTTGCTGCTTGTTAGCCGGATGGATAGGGTTTAGGGTCTAGGGTTTAGGAACTGGTGTCTAAGGTTTAGGGTTTAGGCCCTAGGGTTTAGGATCTAGCGTCTAGGGTATAGGGATAAGAAAGAGATATGTTGGGATGTATAGGGTACAAAAGGGATGTATGGGGAAATTTTTGTAGGACTTAAAAAGGGATATATGGGGATAAACAGGGATAGATAGAGTTATTACGTAGGGATGTGAGACAACTTGATCAAACTGTAACGACCTCATCCGAGCCTGTGTTAAATAGTGGTTTACGTAGAAGATATTCCCAACGTAGTTTTATTTCAGGCTGTGGACTTTACGCTACTTTGGCCAGTTGGCAGGCAATGAAGGAACGGTTGCTTTTGTAGTGGCGAGATCAAGTTCTCTTCTGGGTGATACATTTGTTCTTACTATCATGCTTACTACTGTTGCTCTGGTCCGCACTACTACAATTCCCTGCAATTTTTGATTTTTGTTTTGCCTATTACCATCATCCAATCAGTAGTCTTAATTTATTAATATGCTTACTCTGCTTAAGGCCTTGCCCTAAACCCTAGTGAAACCCTAAAGCCTAAACCCGAAACCTCAAACCCGAAATGCCCGTCGGCCAGCAGACAGGAGAGCGAGAAGGTCTACTTGGCCAGGAACTCCTCCGAAGGTCGTGCGCTCATGCAGGACCTCCCATTATTTTGATGAATCACCCCGCCCCAGTACTGTGGTGTAGGGATGTAGGTTTTGGGGCTTTCAATCTAATTTCGGATTTAGGCTTCAAGATGTTGGATCTAGGGTTGATGGGGGCCGTGTGTTGTTTTCTAGGTGTGGCTCGGTCTGCTGTGGCTCTGTCCCCTGGCCCTTTTTTCCCCGATTCAGCTGGTCCTCTGCTCCTCTGCTCCTCTGATCTCCCAGGGTTTAGGGTTTACGGTTCAGGGTCAGCCCAACCCAGATCCCCAACCTCCTCTCTCACAGTCTTCACTACCTGTTTCTTGATTGGAAGCAGGCATTCGATTCTCTAGACCACGCCGCGATGCTTACAGCACTAGACAGATTTGGCATTCCTCCAAACTACCTCTCATTATAGCTAGCTTATATACCGACCCCACTTTTCAAGTCATCTCTAAAGAAGGTATGGTAGCCAAAGGCAAGGTGGGATCTGGTATACGGCAAGGTTGCCCACTCACCCCATATCTGTTTATCATCGTTTTGTCAGTCACTATGTCAGATTTGGACGATCACTTCTTGAACAGGGGGTTCCCACTAATACCTGGTCGGTAGGCAGGCCCACATATGATCTCGAGTACGCAGACGACACTCTCCTTATGGCACTTACTCATGAGCAAATGCAGCAGTTCCTGCTGGGTCTCGAGAGGGTAGCGGCATCTTATGGCATGCAACTTAATGAGACCAAAACGGAGGTTTTGTCTCCTTCAGACCACACCGCATCACTGCATTTTTCTACGGGTGCTAAAGTCCCACGGGCTAATAAGGTCAAATATCTGGGATCTATGATCTCTTGGGATAAGCCGTTCGAGAACACTTTTCAACATCGCCTTGGAGTTGCCGAGACGGCCAATAAAAAACTTAGATTAGTCTGGAATTGCAACATGTCTAGACCTCGAAAAGTCAACATTTTTCAAGCTACATTCTTACCTTGTCTAGTATACGGGTTAGAGGCTCTTACATTGACCTCCAAGAACCTTCAGACAATCAATGCACAATACTACAGGTTCCTTAGAAGAGCCATTGGAATCAAAGCTTCCTACTACTCACGAGTCAGCAACGAGTCAGTATGGGAGCAAGCCGGCAGACCACAATGCCCTTCGGAATTCCTACACGCCGTTCAACACAAGATGTTGCAAGACGTCTTCGCCCATAACATGGATCATCCCCTGCACAACGTAGTATTCGCTACCGGTTTCAAGGATAGAATACTGTCGCAGGGTAGACGTAGGGGAATGCAATTTCCGTAATACATCGAAGTCATGCAGAAACGTTATTTCCCCAACCTGTCTGAACACACCGCTACCGCAGAGGGTCCACAGTTTAAATACGTTAGGCTCTCCAGAATTTTGCGGGATCATCCAGTAATGGGGCCAAAGCGCGCAGCAAGAAGGCGCGCACGGCCCTGACAAAAACCTCTTCGCTGTTTTAACACAGGCAAGCCAAAGCCTGACAGCTGCCGGCACAATATAGGAGATCCAGGCCGGCATGTTGTGAATCTTCAGATAGGCTCATTTTCGTCAATGTTTTGCGAATAGGTGGTTGCGCCCCAGCAACCCCCTGTTTGTAAGAGGCAGGCAATGAGACAACGAAGTGCATGATCAACGAAAACTCACAGGCGGCAAACGTTCTGCACCATCTCAACCCCTGGTTGTGTGACAAACAGCAGGCAGTTAAGCAACGAAGCGCGTTGTTCTCTTGCGGAAATTCACAACAGCTTGTGAGTTTCGGTACGGTTTCATCCTTGTCCATCTTTGGACAGGAGGGCTGTTTCAAAACAAGCTGATGCCAGCAACTCCCAGCGCAATCTGCAAGTGCGGACCTAGATGTTGTGGACCTTGAGGTCCTTCTAGTTTGGTCAATGTTTTACAGGACTGAGGGCTGGATCTTACCCGCTCCCTCCCGCTGCTGTAACAAAAGGCTTGTAATTCAATAGCAAAGCAAATCTTTGTCCCCACAGAAATCCACAGGCAACGTGTGAATCTTCAGTTGGCTTCATCTTCGTGGCAGGGACTGTGAACGTAGTATAAAAAGCAGGCCAGAGCCCGCCACTTTCTAGCGCAATCTACAAATTATGGACTTGCACTTGCGAATCCTGAGATGGGTTCACGTTCGCACTGTGTTGCGACTGCGGAGGCTGCGACCCCTCCAACCCCATGTTCCTTTAGAGGCAAGCAAATCCGTATTGCACTCGAGATCACTCAAGCAAAAAAGTGCTGGCGATGCTGGAGCGCACGTTGTGCGGAATGTTCGAGAAATAGTTCATGCGAGTTGCAGCATGGTGTGCTATTCGTGGCGTGTCAAACTTGCCAACAGTCACAAGGATCGTGAGTCGGGGCCGTGTCCTTGTCATTGTGGTCGTTTGTGAGAGTTATATCTTCTTCGCGGGGTCGGGGCCGTCATGCTGGTGGCTGTTGTCGACTTTGACCCTCGTAACGAGAGCGTGTCAAGAGCAACAAGAATCTTGTGGATTTTTTTTGGGCCGGGGTTGTCATGCTTGCGATCGTGGACGGTTTGGGCCTCTCGCATCTTCCACACCTGTCCAACGTGTCAGGCCACAAAAAAAGGTTGAGCCAAGCCTGAGCCTGTCTTGGACAACAATGCTCCTGCCGTTCAGGTTCTTTGGTGTATTCCCGTCCACGAAGCACAAGACCCCCGACCCCCATGATAATGAATACTGCAATGTTGTAAAATGACCTTGGGAATTACAATCGCATAATCCCTTTTTGAGTTGCAGGATAAGATCCCCATACACCCCATATCTACTCAAGGGGGACTATAAACCCCAAACCCTGAATAGTAGTTTCCATTTTCTTTTCCATTATCCCAATTTAACCCCCAAAACCCAAAACCCAAAACCCTAAACCCTAAACCCTAAACCCTAGTTGCAGGATGTTTCGGGTTGGGAGAACGACCACAGGAGCTCAACAGGTTTCTGTTGGAGATCAAGGCGGACGGTCGCTACCAGCTGTGGAAGAGGAACGCCTTCTCGGCTAAGTATCCTTCTCCGGCTGCAGGCTGCCCACTTAAGCCTCGTTGTCAGGGCGGGAGCGACGTCTGAGCTTTGTTGCCTTTTCCGTGAGAAATTGGAAATTGAATGTGAGTAAGCACTCTCGAAGAAACAACCTGAGTATGATGCATGAGGCTTTTAGTTTTCTAGCAAGTTCCCATCTTGATTTTGCAGCCCATTCTGCCATTCCAGGGGGGTTGTCAGGGAGAAGAGGGATTGCTTGGCCAGGCGCTTTATTTTCTTTTGCGTAGAAGTCTCTCAAAGAAACGGGGTCCTTCCGGTTGAGCCCATGCAGGAATAGCACCGTTAAACCCTTCCCTCTGATACTCCAACCCCCCACCTGATTTTAAAGAATATTCTCAATACGCCATCCCTTGTGTATATCTATATAGTGTCCACCTGTAGGAGTATGGGGTGGCAATTGCTTCTGGATTGTGTGGGACCCTAGCCTTGAGACAAAGCCAACTTTCCTCAAGGAGAAGGCTGGCAGGGCTGTTTTTTTCACAGACTTGGCTGTCCACGCACCTTAGAGGTGCAAAGCTGTACAGAGGAACTGTTGCTTCTTCATCAAGCTTGTTCCTGTTGTCGATCGGAAGCTGGATCTTATGGTGAGCCATGGAAGGGCGTTTCAAGAGAAGCGTCCTGGGTGTTGGAATACCTGAGACGACAAGAATGGCACTGAGAACTGTGGGAACGCAGTCATTTGAGGCACAGATTCATGTAGATAGACTGTCGTGCTGGCTTTGAGAAAGCACCCCAGCCAAAAAGCCAAGCCCTTAGTTGAGTAATTGTGCAAGAGGTTTGGTGGGGAAGAGAGATTCACAACCCTAAGTTCAATGGTCACTGCTGTGTTTTCGAGAGTGTGATGGGTGTCAGATATCATACAGAACTGTTTTTGCTGATGACGCATCCAGGTATACACTTTCATGATGCAGCGTTTGGGATGTCCTACTGCGAAATACTCAGGCTTTCTTACGTGCGCGCCCATGTGATCTCTGAGAACTTCGCACCGCCGATGAGCATTTGCCATGACATGCATTGTCGTTTCAATCCGATGATGACCCTTGAAGCCCTGAGCAAAAGAGCAATAAACCGTTAACCTCTCAAACTCAAGACTTGAAACTCCCAAGCTCAAGAGACGCAACGCCCATCCTAAACCCCGGGCATTTCACAGCCTGCTGCCAGCAAAGTATGAGGTCCAAAAAGCTTGGATTGCAACACCCTAAAGCCTGAAACCCTTCTTCAGACGCCTGCCAGATTCCCTTGTGAGACCCTCGAACACAAGGGCCTGTATGAGGTGCAAGCCCAATATGATGCCATTTTGTGCTAGCGGGGCAACAGTCATACCCAAACGTATACGTCTATGTTTCTGTATATATATATATATCTCTGTACTTCATGTGGACGGGATGTCAGGATTAGGGTAGGAGATTCCACAGAATTGATCCGACACCCCTGAGCCAGGTTTAGGATTTGAGCTCATTTGGTTCAATCCTCGAGGCGTGGGTGAAGAACCCATTAAGGGATCGAGGTGTCCTTTGTGGCTTTATAGAGATGGTGCAGGGGACATGATAGGGGTTGAAGGGTCTTAAGGATGTGAGCTTGAAGGTCGTCCGACTCTTCCTCCTCCTCGCTGCTGGTTCTTCCAAAGGCCAGGAGTTGCTAGGGCTGTTTAGTCTAAGATTTTTAAGTATGGACCCCTAATATGGGCCCTTAGGCCGTTTAGGGGGACCCAGTGCTAAGGGCCCATACCGGGGGCCAATGGTTCCAACCTTAGATTTAGGGTTCAGGTGTAGTGACCTGGCTCTAGCCGAGATTACCCAATCCCTTGCCTTGTGTGATTGTGTATAAAGGTTTAGAACTTAGGGTTTACCGCCAGAAGCAGGACAGAGCAGTTTCCGTCGATTTATTGGGATGTTCGGCTGGCTCAGAAGCAGCTCAGCTGCAGTCGATTCATGTGCAGTCGATTCATGCCCGCACGCAGGGCCCCCGCATCTACCCGCGGGTTGAGTGGTTGCAACTTTCAGTTTTTCAATGTGCACATACCAATTTGGATTGAACCGGAAGGCCTAAACCCTAGACCCTACACCCCATGCAGCAGCGAGGATTGCAACAGTCCGATCGTTTTTTTTTTCAACCTCTGACTTAGGAGGACCTCTCGCCCTGTAATAGTTGTATAATAGGAATGTGAGAGGTGAAGAAACTGAAGACTCTGAAGCCTAGGCCAGACCCACCCTGAAGCCAAAAACCCTGAAACCCAAAGCCCAAATCAATCCAAACCCTAATCCCCGGTTCAGGGTTTAGGCCTAAAACCTCCTTGAATCCTCCCCCATACCCATACGACTTAGATTCTTGACCCTGAAGCCTGTAGCCGTAAACCCCTCAAGCGAAAGGCCGCCAATGCCAGAAGCCTAATTTCCCAAAGCGTATGTCGTGTTTGTAAGATCAGGCCGCTGCTCCGGCCCCAGCAAAAGCTGCACCGCCTCGGATGGACCTCCGTGTTTCAGGCGCTGCAGCAGATGGGGTTTTCCATAAGCAGGGTGGCCCAAGATTTTAGGCCTAGAATAGTGGAGAGTCGAAGTGAAGATAACACTTGAAGGGTTGAGGGCTAGGTAGGAAAAGCTTAGTAATATCGTATAGTCTGTTATGATCACTGTTATAGCCAAGGTGTGGTAACATACCTATCCTTAGACAGAGCTAGGAGAGTAAGATGGCACATCCCAACTCAGCCTTTTCAAGAGGAATATGGGAATATAAGGGTTTACAGTTTATGTGTTTGTTTGGTCCGAGTAGTGGGAGGCCGTATAGGGACCCTAGTATCCTAGGGAGCCGTACATGGGGATGACAGTGGATTCTGAGGCTCCTCCTTTCGATTTTATATACCCCGACCTTGAACCCTATAGTCCCCCTTAAGTAGATAGAATATGGGGTGTATGATTGGGGTTATATAAGGGTAATGGAAAAGGACATGGAATCTACTATAGTATAATAGGGTATATATTGAGGTTATAGTCCCCCTTAGGTAGATAGAATATGGAGTATATGGGGATCTTACTCTAATATACCCAAAGCCATATTTTATCTACTTAAGGGGGACTATACATCCTAAATAGATGCGTGGAGAAACTCCCGTGTCCTTTAGCCATGCGAACATTTTTGGGTTTCCCAAAATTAGGGTATACTAGAGTTACCTCCTGGAGGTTCCATGAAGAAAGACCACAAATATTGTTGGGTCCATATTGGGGTCCCCCTTTCTGGGAAACGATCATTCATCTTTATGCGTTGCTTCTTGTGCAGGAGCCAGACTGCGTGCTAGAACCACCAAGATGTATTTATTATGATACGCTCCTTGGATCGTATCGGCGTAATCGCTTCACCTAATATTTTAATCACAACCACCCGCTGATCTGAAATATTCCCAGTATATTGGGGAACAGACCCATTTTTATGGCGCGGGGGCGGAGTTTAGTGTTAGGGGGCGGAGGAAATGAGGTTTCAGGCCAGGATGATTGCTTGAAGTTTCCATCATCACCATCATCAGACTACCAGGCTCAGCAACTTCTTCATTTTCACCTGTTACTTTTTAAGGGCCGTGCATGATCATGGTAGATTTTTCAGTTTCATGAATACTAAAGCTCCATTGGTGGATAGGAATGTTTTTCGATCCACATTCCAACAATTCCACAGCAACGGGGGCGGTGGGTGGACGTATGCTTTGAATTGCAAGGTCCTCAAAGTAACCCTAAACCCCCAAATCCGAAAGCCTAAAGCCTGTGGTACGGATGGAACCCCCAAGCAAAGATCGGTTACCCGGTTAGCCACCCCGATTCAGCCATCTCCATAAACAATCTTGATTATCCCCTTCATGTTTAAAAGACGTTTACCTAACCCCCCTTTCCAAATAATGAATATTCCCCAGATGCTATGGTCGTACTACATAGGAGGCATTTGTTTTCATTGGGGTATACACCGCTATGTAACCTACACACCCCTTTTTTTTTTACCGTATATATCCAAACGGACTTCTCATTATGGCGAGGGACTTGATCTTGCCCTAAAACCTGAAGCCAAAACCCTATACCCTAAGCCCTAAACCCCAAAGCCTAAACCCTGAACCCGAAACCCTAAACCCTAAAGCGGGAGGCTCTCCGGCAACGGTGAAGCAGGCCATAGCCTGCGGCAGCAGAGTTTTGTCATGTGGAGCAAAGGGGCGTGTATTCTGATAAATACGGTTTAGGGTCTAGGGTTAATGGATCTTATCTCAACGGAGAATCAAACGGAGAGGAAAAGGGAAAATGACATGGAAGATAGGAGTACACATGGATATATAGGGAATACATGAAGATTATTCATTATAATACGGGTTCCTAATACGGGTTCCGATGGCATGGTGGGGTTCCTATCAAAATACGGACCGCTACATAAATTTCCTTTGTTTTCGGAACAGTATTTATGCCAAGTCCTATATACCTTTATCTAGGACTCATCTATCCTTCTTTCGTTCCCTGTAGGCAATGTAGCTTCTTACGTCCAAGGTTTGGGGCTCGACGGTTAGGACGCTGCGTCTTGAGGTTGTAAGGTTTGGAACGTTTTTTTTGATGGTTCAGGGCTTAAAGTTCCGGATGTAGGCACTTTAGATTTAGGATTTGCAGGTTTCGGGCTTAGCATTTGAGAGTTGAGGTTGCACACGTTTGAACATCCGTTCTGTAGGGCTTTATGTAAGCATTTCCTTGATGGGGGTACCTGGGTTTTCCCTGTCCGTCAAGCTGTCCGGGCGTGCTTCTGAGTTTGAGATGTGCTTCAGAGAGTATCGCCCGGAAAATCCTAGACCCTAAATCCTCAAGGTTTGACACCAATTACAATGCAGGTTTTTCACCAAAGAAGACTGAAGACAGGCTTACCATTAGGGAGAGGACTCTTAACCCGAACTCCAAACCCTAAATCCTCAGTTTGGGTCATTACTAGGGGCAGGAGATTCATTTGAGCTATAGTGTAAACTCTTTAAAGGTGTTATATAGGGGACTACTATAAGGGGTAATTGAGGGGGATAC